GCGGGGCCCATCGGCTGGCACTGCCTCGACGACAAGGACAGCTTCTACGTGGCGCTGGAGCGCGTGGCCCACGAGTGACACCGGCGCTGCCGCCTGGGCTGGGGACGGGGGCGATGGTCCCGGGCACGTGCCTGGGGAGCTGGGCTCGGCCACCGGGAACCCCGCCTGCCCTGCAGCCTGGCTGCCCTGCTGCCCGACAGCGACAGACTGAGCCGAGGCCCAGCGGACTGACCACGGCTTGGCCACCCCGCAGCCTTGCTGATGGCAGCCCACGGCCTGGCCGCCCCACACCTGACTGACCACAGCCTGGCTACCCCACGGCTTGGCTGACCTGCAGCCCGGCTGTGGGTCACCCCACAGCCCAGATCCACGGACTGACCGGCACCACCAAGAAGCGCGGCGCCGGCACAGCCAGCTCCTCACCTGAGCCCACATGGGAAGGACGTCGTCGGTGGGAGGGTCCCCTGTGACCTGCAGGGACAGCTCACTGTGACAATTTTGCCAAATAGCTTGGTCTGCCACCGTTGCTAGAAGCTGCCTCAGGCCTTCCTGGCTGCTCTCTGTCCCTCCTTCCTTGTGTGGCTGCTGTTTCTCAAACGTGCTAAGATGTCTTTCAGGCTGATCGGTTCGTGACAACAGCCATGTAAATGTGGGCGCTGGGGCAAGGGCAAGGGGAGGACAGGACTGCTGCATTGGATCATCATGGTGGCTTAAATTGTCTGAACTACAGCCAAAGCAGTTATAGGGTGTAAGGCTGTATCTTCTGTTGATTTTCAGAAGAAATGTTCCCTGCCCCAAACCCTAACATTTAGGTTCTCTAAAACCTCATCCTACTTGACAGCTGTAACCTGTAAGAATATATGGCACCTCAAGTGTGTGTAAGGCATTTTAACTAACATTGTGTGCAGTTTTATTAACCGAGTACTTGGAAATAAAATAAGATACAGGCAGAGTTTGCAGACAGCATAGGCTGATAGAATGGCAGATAAAGAAAATGTGCAAGATCATAGTATTTCCAGGCAACAAGAATGAAGAGATTCCAACCTGAAAAAGATTTGAATCATTGGACAAGCAGTGTCCAGTGACTGCATGTCTCGGTGCTGAAGAATGTCAAAACAGCCGTGTGTGTATTAAACGGAGAAGTCGGGAAGGAATTTCTCTTCTGTAAAAGCGGCTGGTAGGAGCAGTGCTGGGATATTGTGTCCAGTTTTGGTCTCTGCCTTTTAAAAGACGGGCACAAAGCTGATTGAAAATTGAAGGAGGCTGCAGCAGCCATGGTTCTCACTGTATTTATCTTTTGGTAATTGTGGTCCGGTTTGCATTCCCTGTTTGCAAACCCCCGTATGAATAATACAGCAGCTTTACAGTGATTGTCTTGGGTCACAGAGGGCACGCCTTACTGCAGGAGGTGTATCAGTATGCTATGCTAATAAACCCCTTTGGTACCGATGCAGCTGTAAAGGCACAACTGTCATTGCGCTGGGATGATGTACATCGGATGTACTTAGAGTAGCAATGTTGCTGCCACGAGGCTGTGG